AAAGATAGGCTAGATAGGCTTAGTTTTCATTTATGAGCCAAATTACTTAATATTATTTATTTATTATTTATTATACATTTAGTTGGAATCAAAAAAAATAATTTTGGGCTTATGAAACTTATGAAAACAAATATTTGTCTCATGATCAAAGAGGGAACGTTCGGATTTTTAAGGAACGTTCGGATTTAAGAAAAAGTAAATAAACGTTATATATTATATATATAATTAAAAATACCGTTTTAAAAAAAAAAAAAAAATTTCTTTAATATACAGCGCCAAAAAAATGAGACTAAATTATGATGTTTTTATTATTTGTTTTAATTAAATGATCAACCAAAATTTCTAAAAAATTTTAAGATTTAGATTAAGTTAATAAAATTAAGTTTAGTTTTTTTTGATTGCTTCTTATTTTGAAACCATACAAGTATTAGTGTTAGTTATACGAATATTATAGTTCATACTTATTCGAAACCATACGAGTATTAGTTTGTTTTGATAAAAAGATTTATAATCACGTGTGATGATTATTTAGATCATAATTAATGCAAAAAATCAGATGTTCTCTTTGAAAAAAAAGAAAAAAAGAAAAAAAAAAAAAAAAGGGTGAAAAATAAACCTGCAAATAGTAGATCAAATTAAGAGTAAAAAAAAAAAAATTTTTTTTTTTATTATATATATATATATACATTTTTATTTTATTATACATTTTATATCACAAATTCACAAACCAAAAAAAAGTGTACCAAACTCCGATTATTATTTTTGTCTAGAACTTGAAAGAATTAATTGAAAAGTTTATGTATGAGAAAAAAAGGAAAATCATTACTATTTTTATTATTTAACTTTCATTCAATAGAGAGAATGATGGCGGCGTCTCCTTGTGAATAATGAGCATTTGTTGTTGTTGTTAATTCATGTAACATATGCAAATATTCTTTTTATAAAGTTCATCGCTCTTCAAAACTTTATTTATCAAAAGGGTTCATTATTATATCTTTTTAGAGTAAATTAATAATTGCCGATGCAAAAATAATTTTCTTAAAATTATTTTATTTAATCGGAATTTAATGATGAATTTCCTTTAATAAGTTTCATTCTCTGCAAGATTTTAATAGGTTGTAATGAAAAATAAGGTTTTTGAAATTTTTAATAATTTTTATCTAAAAAATTTTAAAGTTATAAAAAAATATGATGTGAACATAAGTTGTAAATCATGTATCAAAAAATACTATACCCGTCATGGTGTCATGCAAGTCAATCAAAACCTTTCAACATCAAAAAAAAACGAGGTTTTATTAAAATAATATAAAAAAAAAAAGCGGTTTAGTAATGAAATTATGTCATTTATTTGATTCTGTCAATAAAAAGGTTTCATTGATTATAACCAAAGTAAGTATAATTAATAAATATATATATATACTAATTGGTTTGAATGAAAGTTTTTTTTTTTTTTGTGAAATGATAATAAAAAAAATGGTAAATAAATCGGATTTTAAATAACTTTTAAAGTTAACTTTTTATTTTGTAAATCGGAGTATTATTGTTTTATTATTGAAATAATATTTTATGCAAGCCATTTTTTTTTTTTTTTCTCTCTTTAAAAAAAGTCTCTTTAACGAAAAAAAACTTGTAATAATCGGTTTAAAAAAACCTTTAATAATCGGTGAAAATGAATTGTAATAAAAAAAAAATAAAAAAGGGAATATTTGAAAATTATTTTAGTTTCAAAGTTTCAGATGGAATTCACCTGATTCAGCTTCTTAATTTGTACTCTTATAAAAAAAACTTTTTTTATTTAAAAATCAATTTAATCAATTTAATCAATTTATTGGATAATCACAATCGATTAAAAAATGACCCTTCATGCCGGTTTAACGCCAAAAAGAAAATGTTATAAATAAAAAAGTCAATTCATATTTAGTGATAATTGTTATCCAAAATTGGTTTGAATTAATAAAATCAATCCCTCAACTATGTTGTCGGTGGTGGCCCCCTTAATAATTTTTTGGCTGATTGATTTTTTTATTATACGTTACACTAAACGGCCATTTGTCGGTTCAATTTTTTAAAACGCCGATAAATTGAATATAGTATATATAATAAATAATCTTTAAGCCTTTTTCTATTATCTCTATTGTTAATTCTGGCCCAAAATTGTTCCTTTTTTTTCCTTCAATCGCGAAACAGCAATTGTTTCCATTTTTTTTATAGTGGGCTGTGTATAATTAAATTTTTTTTTTTTTTTTAAAAAAAAAAATTTATCTATTATTAAAAAAAAAAAAATTTTATCTATTATTAAAAAAAAATTTTTTTTTATCTATTATTCCTGTTATCTTGATAAAATCCATTTTTTTTTTTTATAAAAGGAAGATGTTTCGTCCTTTTTTTATTTTTTTTTTTTTCTACAATAAAAATATTTAAAATTAATTAAAAATTCAAAATTAAATTTAGTCACTCTTTAATAATGATATCCTTTAATTCATAACTTTCGAATAAATTGTATATTTCCCTTTTCTCTCTCTCCCTCAATTTTACATATGCCGTTTAAGTATCCGAATTTTTTTTACATCGAAAAAATTCACCTATTTTTAAGTTCGTCTAAACATAAATTTACAAAAACGCGTTTGCGTAAAAAAATTCTCTCTCTCATTTAAATATTTTTTTTTGTCATCCAAGAAAAAAAAATATATATTTCTTCCGTCCTGCCCTAAAAATGAAAAAAAATGGGAGTTTTCGAGTCCTAGAAACGAATGAGAATTAGATAATGAATTTTCGAGTGGTCCTGAAAAACTAACTAATAAGCTACAGCGAAAAAAGTTAATGGTATTGTCAAGATTCCTCTAATAGAAACTGCAACCTCGACGATGGACGATTTACGACGGACGATGGACATTGCAGTCTCGACGACGACGATGGGTCTTTTTTTCGTCTCTTTAATTTTCGTTCTTACGTGCTTAAATGTTGTTCTTATATGTTTTTTTATGTTTTTTTTTTGTTCCTTTTTTTTTCTCTCTGTACATATGATTCTTGATTCTGATAAATAATGAACATATATTTTGTAAATATCAAAAATGTAGATAGTTTCTTTTTATCCCCTTTTTCATAAAATACAATAGACAATTTTTTGTACATACATTATACATTTTTTTTTTCTTTTTATCTTAATTTAATTTTTCAGTTTGTCAATAGAGCTAGTGACCAAGACATTTATTTATTTAACTCGCGTATAAACGTAAAGAAAAAAACGATTCGACATTTTTAAAGGAAAACACGAAGAGCTTTTTTTTTTCCTTCTTTTTTTTACAACACTTTTTACAACACTTTTTACTTACAACACTTTTTACAACACTTTTAGGCCAAAAAACAATCATATTTCGTTTTTACTTTTTTTTTTTCATAAATTTTTTATCTCAAATTTTGGAAATACAAAATAACAAAAAAAGAACCAATTCTATTTTAATAATCATCTACTATAGATTTTTAAAAAAATTATGATTCCCCTAAAAATAATGATTAACCCCTACAAAAAAAAAATACCTAACCTACATTACCATAAAAAAAAATACACATTAAGATTTTATATTTTCATAAGATTTCTTAGCTTGTAAAAAACCTTTTTT